GAGAGGGTAAGTAAGAAGTCGACGATTGACGAATAATGGTAATCTTTAGTAATATACTAGCCATCGATTATGTGATCACCATGTGCAGGTTCAAATCTACGCGAAAAATTGGGTGGCCCCTCAAACAACATGGATTTGTTAATAACTTCTACAAAAATGAAAAAAATCAATAGATTTTGTTGTGCTTCAACTTTTGACTGTGCCCGATTGTACCCAAAAATCGCTCGCTTTACACAAAAACAAAATCATATAATTTACCCCATTTCCACGGAAGTAATTAGGATATTTATGGGTTCTGTTTTTGGGGGTCACTCTGTACTTGAGTGCGAAAGACTGGACTTCACCGGTCGGTTACGTCGATTCATCCATCATCAGTTCGTGCATCTGAAACAAACTGCCCAACAATTCCAACACCTGACATAAAAATATCAGACCACCCACATACAAAATACTTTTTCATTTAGTAAATTTTAATGCTTGGTTTTACCCTTTTTAAATTAAGTATTCGGGTTATTTGCTGTTTATATTGCTAATGACAGCTCACAGAAGCATGAAGTATGCAGAAAAGTGAAAAATAGATAGATAATTTTTTTTTCATTCTTATACACTGAAATTTTTGTAAAAAGTTGCTCAATCAATAAGAACGATTTCACCAGGCACATGCTTCGTTTGTCCTGCACCTGGATATAACAAAACTCTTTGTGGACCACCGTCAGAATATTGCAAAATCTCGGATAGTTGTTTCAGCAAAAATTAACCCGAGCAAATTTGTTGCTGGCTTGAAAGTAAGCGGATGGCAATGGTTTGGCCAGGTTAGTCTTTTTATTCTATTCTCTCCACACACATATACAAGCTATAGCCTACTTATACATTTCTAACCCTTGTCATTTTTGCAGAACGAGACTGATATTGCCATCAATTTATTAAACATAGGACCATTGTCCGTTGCCATGAACGCGGGAATGTTGCAGTTCTACCATTCTGGAATATACGATCCTTTGTTCTGTGATCCCAAGTCCCTTGATCATGGTAAATATCATATCTGTTTGTTTATTAGTCTACAAGTGCGCAGTGGCACCACGTATTCCATCACCATGTGAAAAGGAGACAACAAACATTTTCATTCGCAAAAACAAAACGACTACCACAAGTGGAGGGAATCATATAAAACTGTGTTTTCGATCTGTTAGGGGTGCGCAACGGACGGCCCGCGGTCCGCCAAGCCTTTCAGTGTGGCCACTGCCAACATTCAGATTTGTCCCCATCAAGCATAAGATCCTAACTTCTGTCGCAGCTGATTTTAACAAACTATGCAAGAACTCGAAATTTCGAGTGTCGCACAAAAATGATAAATAAATAAAATTTGTTATAGTAAATAAAATTGGTTATATGGTGTTCTGACAAAACATTGCACACCCCTGGTATACTGCATGCATTAGGATAGACAGAGTTCAATGGAATATCTAAAGGCTGTAACAAAAGAAAATGCCTATACAATTAAAAGCGGTTGTTTCCCTAACTTAAACAGTATGTATTTCTATTTTATACAGCTGTTCTTATAACTGGTTATGGTGAAGAAAAAACAATTTTGGGAGAAATGAAGAAGTATTGGACGGTGAAAAATTCCTGGGGTAAAAAGTGGGGTGAAGACGGATATTTTCGAATTGCGAGAGACAAAAATAAGTGCGGCATTGCGACTCAAGTCACCACCGTTGAATTGGAAATCATATAGGAAACTTGGTTTTTATTTTGACCACAATGTGTGTTGTCGTGGGCCTTTATTACAACGTGGTCTGTAATATTATAATATAAAATAAATTAACAAAATGGAGTCTATTGTTTTTTACATCAAAAAATTTCCTTCGTGCAGTTATAGGGGGGACTTGTATCAAAAATTCGCCCCGAGTTACTTTTTTGAGAATCAAGTTGACTAAGAGAAAGGTTTTCTCTATAGGATCACTAGACAGTGGTTCCCAACCGCCGGTCCGCGAAGTTTTCTTGCCGGTCCGCGAGAAATTTTGTTTTTATGCCGTCTCAATCCCTTTACCGTAGCGAGGTTGCGTTGGTTTATTACGCAATTTCTCTTCCGCCGTCATATTGCGACATCGTGGCGCCGAGTAATCACACTTTCGCTTTTTCGGCTCAGATTCATCGCGAATGCGCTCCATCAAATCTCGCAAGGTTCAGAAACCTAAAAATCGACACGCGTGCTTTTTCTGTTCTGCGTGCTTATCGTGATTAATATGATCATCCATTTAAAACGTTATGCATATTTCTTTGTTTAAAACCGGAAAACAGTCAAGGACAGTATAATATCCCAATATGATATGAACTTGTTGCGATCATGCAGGTGATCACGAGACGCGCAAAAAAGCATGGGCCGCAGTGATCTTTTTCAGTATTTTTGAGCCTGGTAGCGACGACTTTGTCATTGTAATGTAAACTCATTCCGTTTGAGGCATCGATCAACTGCATAGGGATTAATATGATGAACCCGATGCAAAAAAAAAACTCTTGATTAAAATTGTGACTATACCTTACAGTCCAGATTCAAAAAAGAATCATTGTCATAATTTTGGATATCTCTGGATAACAAATACCCATCGCTAAGTAATCGAGCAATCAAACTCTTGTTCGTATTATCAACCAGTTACTACATTATGCAAAAAAAACATTTTCATCACTAGCTTTAATTAAAACGAAGCAAAGAAATCGGCTGCACACCGCTGCAGAGCTACATTTTGCAGAAACTTCTTTAGGCCTCGTTTTGCAATCATGCATCGGAAACGAAACAGCAGCAAAATTCTTACCAGAGTTAATTGTGTTTGTACATTATTTGGCATTTACATGTTTTTTATGCGAGATGTTTTATGCGTGCCTTTCTTACGCATAATAGGTGCCCAGCCCTGCATTTCATTACGCAAATATATGATATTATTTTATGTTTCACCCATTTCAATTTTTGGCCGGCACATTATTTGATAGTTTTTTCTTCGTGTGAAATGTTTTAAGTGTGCCTTTTTTGTCTAGAAGCATATTGAGTGCCCGACATTGCATTATATTACGCAAATAAAATGTTATTCCTTTCTGTTCCGGTCATTTCAATTTTTTTGGCCGGTCCCGCGAGTTATTTTAATTTTACTGGTCCGCCAGGGTAGAAAGGTTGGGAATCACCGCACTACAGCGTGGTTTTACGAACTCGGATTTGTGAACCCCCAGTGTTCCTCGGAAAGATTTCCATGGAGAGACAATGGCAGTTGGGTTATATATATATATATAATGGTGACCGTACATTTGAACCCATGCGTATATCCACGGTTCCAATCTATATGCGGGTGCTAAACCCATGGGTTAGGGTTAGTATGGGTTTAACTATCCGTGAAACAAAAAAAATTCCATAGGTGCAATAGCATACAGGTGCAATTGTCATGGGTTCAAATGTACGTGGGTTCAAATGTAATAGAACCATATATAATATATCGCTTTAATGAGGAGGTGCTTCGGGTGAATTGTTTTATGACTTTGGTACCTAGCTAAAAAAAAGATGTGAACTATGCACTAGACTAGAAGGATTAACAGATTTCGGCAGAGTCTTAAAATTGTTCAACAGCGAAGTTCAACTTTTAAGCGTAGGACATTCATACGAAAAATTTGCCATTATTTCAACAGAACAACCTTATACTAATAGGCCAACATAATTTATTATTTTTGGTTTTCAATTGCCGCGAAGGGAGGTCTCATGCTGTTTCAAGAGTCCTTTTTTTTCTCCTCGTGCCTGATCGTAAATATATGCCTGACATGTTCACTTTAAATTATTTACAGTATCAGAATTTTCGCTGATCGATAATCAGTCAATCAATCAGCTGCTTCCTTTCTCCGGTAAAGTTGCGTCCCGTTATCTGTAGACGATCGATTATCACTCACTGAAAAAAACTGAAGTTGACCTGACAAATGCAGTTGATCCTATAGTATAAGATATAATACAAGAGTCCTGCTGCACACTAACACAAATGTATTTATGTTTCTAAGTCTGACTTCCTCAGACGAGCCGCTGCTTGTATAGTCCTGTTTATTCCTGCTACACTTACAGCATCCTTGCATTATACGCTTCCACGAGCATAAAGGCATAGATAGAGTGAGGACAGAGATGGCTCGCACAACCAACTCGTAGATCGCCTAATATGTACCATTTTATTTTGCTCGGGAAACTAACTATAAAACCGTTTGTGTCAGTGTCTTTTCTGTCGGTTAGCTTCATCTTGGACTTTGTTTTTGCGTTTTTTCCGCTCTCCAACAATAAGTACTTAGATAGAACGCATATTTTATTGACCATTGCAATCACACAGGAGTTTCTACATACATCCTCAATGCACAGAAAAAAGGTTTCGCTGTTTCAAGGTTGTCAGCATGCTTAACTAGTGGACAACATTTTGAAAGTCGACGATAGATTATTAGAGGTAGGCATAACATCATCGACACCGAGAGGCGGCCAAAGGATTGTCACGCAGTCATAGTATCTGACGCCTGGGCAGCTACACACATGCCCGTCTTCATGCGTGATTTGGTATCATATCAAAACGACAAACTCACCCGCCATATTGTAAGTTACACGCTGTATGGCTCGGACATACCAGAATATGTGTGTAAACAAAATCCAACGTAAAACATTCGACCTCTCGGGTCATTGGATACTAAAAGCGCTTGCCCTGCGAACGCACCAGTCAGTTTGATTTGTATGGGCCTCCCGGATACCGATATCATGGCGCAACCGGGAGCAAAGTGGACGCAGTATCCGTTGGCTTTTATTTACATAATTGGAGTCTGCTACAGAGACAACCATCCATTTTGGCTGAACGCTTGCTCACTAAGTGGTAAATACAGCATCAGCGAAAACACATATCTCGTGTCGAATGCGCTTCCAATTTCCATGAACCATAAATGTTAGTTTTGCTCAAATGGCGTCGGGCTCACTGATCAACAGAAGCAAACAAATAAAAATGTTAATGAAGCAATTACAATTATTATTACAATCAATATAAATTTGCAAACAATTCACAATATGCTCATGGTTGAAGAATAACACAATATCACAATACTAAACACTAACACATAATTTCAACTTAAAATTAAATAGTGACACAATTCCACAACTTATTTGTGGATTGCAATTGGTCAATACTAGATTATATTCCATATAGATGTAACAAAAACAAAATCTTTAAACTGCTGTCATGATTATGATATAACATGTTGTGGAACTTAATGCTGAGGTTAAGTCTTAATTACAAAACTCCAACACCATTTTCTTCGTAATTTTAATGACTAAAAAGCAGTGAAAAATGAGAAGATGCATGCTACCCAGATTACTGGGAAGTGATGCTGACTGCTGCATGATATATTCAAAAAGCAATATAATGATAAAGTATGTGATTGCATGTAGAATAAAATTCAATATTTGGCTGCAAAATGTGATGAAAAATTTTCAGTATTGAAATCTGACTTTGAATATTTTATTGATACCAGACATATTGGGTTATTATTTGTAAGCACCATGGTCCATAAAGCACAGCAACACCTACATCGATGAGCGTCAGTTGAAACTATCACATGTAGGCTACTGTATTTTGTTAGATGTGAAATGATCTAAGAATTATGCAAAATATCTTAGCAAAAGGATCTACCCTCTAATAGAGTCTAGACAAGAGTGAAACAATGAATAATTATCAAAATTGAAACCAGGCTTTTTAGCCATAATTGTTTATATTGATACACTCTCCTCTACTTAGGACAAATGAGAATTGGGATCTTAGTATGGTGAACAACATAGTCGCTCACAGAACCAAGGATCGTCCTGCGGACTGTGCCGAGACCTCTGCTGCCCATAATGATCAAGTCAACTTTATTCTCCTTAGCTTTGTCAACAATACACTGGCCAGGACTTCCACCACTAGATTCAAGCAAAATCTTATTTTTGATCTGTGAAAATTTTATAAATAAAAAAGATTAATAGCGCAGGGATGGCTTCCCCTGTAAGATGCATATTACCGCCACAAAACCGAGTGTGCTAAAATGGCAGGGATCAAGATAGTATCTCTAAATTCAAATGGCGTCATCAAAATATGATGACATCGTAAGATAAAAAGCCTCTCTGCATTGTCTTTGCAAGTTCGTCTTGCAACAAACCGGCAATCAATAGTTTTATTAGCTTCCCTGCATACTTTGGCCATTCTCATGAGCAATGGCTTGGCAACTGAACCATGTATGACATAACAATGCATTAGTTTACACACAATAAATCAGACCTAGGATGACTGCTTTGACAATAACAAAACTACGCCTTACGTTCATAAAAAGTGATTAAGTATGGCATGTAGCAGTAGTATTTCAAATAATTATTGCACATAAATGGACACTAATTTTATGCCAAGCTTGAACCAGTACCTACGGATATTACAGTATATACTTACATTAGTAAACAATTTACAAAACAACGAAAAAAAATTTACCAGATAGCATTTTTCTGACAATGAAAATTTAATTAATATTATGCAAAAAATATTTGCTCTTTGTCTGATACATGACAAAAGAAACCAAGCGCAAACGTTGGAACGGCTAATTTTAGTAACAAGCCCCATTATTCAGTCGAGTGTATGATAAAATGCCTCACAGTGAAGTGGTAAATTTGGATTGTACAAAACATGAATTATTGACGATTATGGAGACTTGGAGAGACAGAAAAGTTTAAAAGACCAGCAGAGTTACTGGTTGAAAGCAAACAAGATTTTACAATGGCATTCTGAACTTCTATTTTGCCATTTCAATTTTAAATACCCAATGGGTATGTTTCACTGAAAATTCATTTTACTTTACAATTTTAATATTCAAATTCCTACTTAGGATATTAATTTTTCATACCAATGATTTTTTATGTCAAATTATGTGGAAATTTCTGACAGTTTCTAAACTATTCCCGAGTGGGGTTTTCATCAGAGTATAATTACCTATAGAGACTTCAAAATCAAATATAGACTATTGAATAAATTTTCAAAAAAGTTTGCTCCATATTGGTTACTAATCTAGGACCAGCATGTTATATGTATTTTGTCTCACGATTCAAAATAATTCAAGACAAAACATATCATGTGATACCCAAGAAGGCTATCAAATTACCATGACTCTTTTGTCATTTGGTCAGTTGTGTTTACAATTGAGTCATTGGCAAATAAAGAAGGTTACATGCCAGTAGTCACGTACGCATAAATGGAAAATAGTTGGGCTGCCTAGGGCAAAATTTGAAATTGAGTATGAAAACTCGAAGGCCAACTTGTTTGGATATAATAAACATAATTTTTTCTTTGCTTGTTTGTTGTAAAATAGGACTTTTTTAATAAAACTTGGCATACAACTTGACATATATCATACAATAAAAATGGCAAACCTATAGAATACTAATTTCAGATTTTAAAATAAATAATGTAAAACCTTTTCGAATAGCATTAATTTTTATCTAGGATCTTAATTATCAGCTTAGCAAAAATCATAAAAATTATAATAAGATTTTGATAACTCAGATGCACAAACAAGATTAACTACATATTTCCTAGATCATACATACCTTCTTCTGTCCCAATTTTACAGTATAGGTATTCTCTAATTTATTAACATCGTCATTATGCTTAGTCATGATTTTGGTTATTTCCTCTGCCGGGAATGCACCAGCCTCTGAAAATTAAGCATAAGCAGTGGAAGGATTTATCAAAAATCTAGAAAATTTATTGGTAATTCCGAAAAAATGGCATAATTACAGATAAATTGAAATACATATGTTTTATTTTAATAATAAAATTTTCTAACTTTTTCATGAGAATGAAAAATCCAATCCTCTATCATTGAATATTTGGAAAGAAATTGTGAAATTATCAGTAAATATTCAATAAATTTCCAGTGAGATTATATTTATGGTGTTTGATGGTAAATTCAAATTTCAGATCTTTATAAAGAGAAATGGATATTGTTGAAACACAAAATTTCACTCTCAATATGACTGATGCTCATTATCAATATTTCAATTCATTCATAAAATTTACTATATTTAAATACATTCGGTCATTTCGAGCATTGTAATTAGTTAATAAGAATAATATTTTAATTGAATTATTTTAACATATCATATTTGAACTGATATACAAATACATAATACCTGTAAAAGAGAATGTTGGCAACTTGGGTACATCCTTGACATGCAAAAGGAACACAGTGTTGTCAGGCTTATGGAGGCTTTTTACATACCCTGTATATTGATAGAAAGGTTATCAATCTTTTTGGTTGAGCAGTACCCCAATGAAACATTGCAGAGACTCATAGAACCCTTGTGCAATAGCTTGTCTTATTTAAAAAAAAAGTCATTTGATAATTAAAATATTCATATATATATATTAGTATATAAGAGCAACCATAGGTATTTGATTATATTTTATTAATACACAAATAAGCTCTCGAATTTGAATGTAAACTTGCGAAACCTCTGGGCTGTACCTGGTTAAAAACCACTGGTCTTATCAAATCGTTTCATCACAGAATACTGGAATAAATGAAAAAATGCTTTTGTAAGTAACTTATTTATATTTCATTACCGGTATTCTGCATTTATTAATATTGCATGGAATGCAAATACAGATATATGATGATGTTGATGTCCTGTACAACCGTAACAAACCATAAATTATTGATTCGTGACTTCGTAAGTCATAACTGAAACCGG